TAACCATGTTACCTTGCAAGGTCAATTTTTTTCTTCTGTTTTTCCACTCGTTGTTCTCTTCTCTATTTATATTGCGCCAATGATCTCCTCATGTATTGGGCATTTCAGTTTCATGTTGTTCGCGTAGACATCTAGGTTGAGAAGGAATTTCTTGTTGAAATCCAAACTGCAATTTGTCCCTATCAGCTTGATGCATTTCAAGAATATGAAAACTGATGATTGAAGTGGTCGCGCTCCATATCTGGCTATCTTAAAGGACGCACTCTGAGTAGTTCGGGTATGACCTCCAAATAAACTGTTACAGAAAACGTAATAGTTAGAGTATAAATACATATGTTAGCATCTATTTAAAGATTTTAGCGGTAACAAACTTACATCGTTAGCCCTCAATCTATCTAGTGTGAATCTAAATCCTTGGATGTAGTGCTGAGGATTATTTTGGTAAGCCATGCCTGTTCGAACAAATATTGCAATTTTAAAAGAAAGAAATATAATAAAGGGATGGTCATAAACATATATCCGTACAAAAGAAAAGAAAATGTAAATAATTTTTACCTTGTTGCATAAGGATGGTATGACTCGACAAAACTCTCTGGAGAAATTAGTGGTATATGACAATATGTCCAAACACTAAGTAGGAGAACACATCCTCCAATACTTTTTACCCCTACCCTACATGTTTTACACATATGCCTATATAATGTAGCTAAGCAAGCAGAACCCCAACTATATCTATTGCATTTATCTAAATCTCCTACTAGGGATATCCAAGAAGAATGTAAATAGTTATGACTCTTGTTTGGCATCAATACTTTAGCTATGAGTAGTAATATATAAATTTTTGCATGGATAAGGTTCTCCTCATCGGATGGCGATGCGTTTTGTCTTAATTGTGCTAATATAGTTTGGAGCCAAATAATTTTAACATAAGCTTTAAGTTTATCGGATGTCGAAGGTTCGATACCTAATATTCCACATATACATCACTGCCTACTTGAGTAGGACCATTCACAGTCTTACCATTTACACGAAGACCTAATAACATACTTACATCCTCCAATATTATGGTACATTCACCGGTTGGAAGATGAAAAATATGTGTTTTTGATCTCCACCTTTCCACCATAGCAAGTACGAGCTTCGAATCAACATTGATAGTGGTTATTTTTGCAACTTTTGCAAAACCTGCTCGTTTCAAATACGGGTTGTTTGCCTCACTTGGTGCATCAATAACATGAGAATGAAGCCTAAATCTTTCGTTGTCGGACTGTTTCAAATATTGAAAAAATCAATACATTCAGTTATTAAAAAATAAACACAATGTAATGATGTAATAATAATAATAATAAAAATAAACTTAAGTATGAACAAAAAAACTTACATAGGCGGCAACATTGGCCGGTGTTCTTTGGTGATTTTGTCCCATCCACAACGTTGTCATTTGGAATAATTTAAACTGATGAAGTAGTGACAGCGTTGAAGTATTGAATTAATTTGATGATTTTGCAATGCATATGAATAAAAAGTGATGCTATTTATAAGAAAAAATTATGAGTAAAAATTATTGAGCCATGCAATTACCCGTTGGAAAAAGAGTTGAGTCAAACAATTAAATGAATCCAAAACTATTCCTTTGAATGATTCCCTCTGCATCCCTATAGATAACACACTATTAAGTAGTTGTACCCTCTGCACCCTAAATTATTTACTAGTGTTGCATGAAAGCATTCTATCCTGAAAAGACAACACACTACACCCTCTGCAGCTCGATCAATGGAAGGACATGCCTTAACACGCACTTTATGGGTTTGTCATTTGGTTGGACGACCCTACGCGAATGCTTCATGGGTTCGTCATTTGGTTGGACGACCCCAAATTGTTTTGTCGCATGTTCGTCATTTGGTAGGACGAACCAACATTATTCTGTATTATTATATATTCTTTCATGTCTTGTACACTACCATCCAAGTTACACTATCTATATCAAATCAATGGCAGATAGAAATACATTGGTCAGCATGCACTATAATGGTTTCGTGTTCATTGATCAAACTATCGGTTTGTCATTCAACGATACAAATACGGTGGTGTTCAAACTTCATCGTAGTTCTGATATTCTTCATCTAAAAGAACGCATCGAAAAAAAAGTGCAACGCCCAGTTCAGGAAATTATTTACCGTCAACCATTACTTAATGGAGTAGATGATGATGTATTCTATGTAATGAAGCAGATAAATATAGACAAATCAGTCAAATCAATATTCCAGTGTCATTACACAATGCCTCATTTGAAGACGATTGAATTATATGTTCGCCTTGATGGAGAAGCATATCCAACACAATAATCATATTCGCATCAATACGGAGTGAGCCAAGTAGCTGATGAAGAAATTACACAAAATAATGAACCTTTCATACGAAACAAGGAGGTTGGTGAATGCCATGATGTTCGCTTTGAAGATCTTTTTGATGATGGCGATGAAGAGGATGTTCTCCCTGTGCATTCCTAGATAACAAATGCCCAACCCATTAATCTGTACAATCCACCAGTGCACATGTCAAACATATGTCTGGAGTCTTCTCAACCCATCTATATTTTTGCAAACGACACACCAAACCATATTGGTGACAACTTGGAAGTAGAGATGATGTTTGAAAATAAGGAAGCGTGTGTTCTTTTTTTGCAACATTGGCATATAAGTAACAATCTTGACTATGAAGTATATAAATCTTATTTAGTAAGGTATATAATAAAATGTAAGAACCCACAATGCATGTTCACATGTAGGGTTGCATTGTGTAAAAAAAGCACATTATGGGAGATCGCAACTATAAGAGGATCCCACACTTGCACAACGACTTCTATGTCACAGGATATAGAAAATTAGATTCAGCAATTATTAGTCACAACATCAGAGAACTTGTTAACAACGACACTTCACTAAAAGTTAAAGTGATACAAGCCCGTATTGCAGAAAAATGCGGTTATAGAATCTCATATCGAAAAGCTTGGATTGCAAAGGTTAAAGCCATAAAATCACTTTATGAGAATTGGGAAACGTCTTACAATGGATTACCACAATGGTTGTTGGTGATGAAGACATATATTCCTGGAACTGTTATACAGTTGGAAACATTGCCAATTATTACAGACGGCGGACTACCGGGGTGAAATACGAAGAACAAATAGAGCAGCTTTGGAGTGGATAAACAATATTCCCAGAGAGAAGTGGTCGAGGGCGTTTGACGGTGGACAGTGGTGGGGACACATGACAACAAATTTGGCCGAAGCTATGAACTCGGTACTTAAGGCTACCTGAAACCTTCCTATTACTACAGGGGTCAAGTCAACGTTCTATCGTTTGGGATCGTTATTTGAAAATCGAGGACATGATTGGACAAAAATGTTGGCATTCGGTCAAACTTTCACAGATAACTGTAACAAGGGAATGGACGACGAAGTGAGTAAATCTAGCAGCCATAATGTCATCCAATTTGATCGCGAGAGATTGTGTTTTATGGTCACCGAAAGGATTAATCAACACGATGGCCGACCATTAGGTACTTTTAGCGTTGATCTTAGGAGAGGATGGTGCGATTGGATGGGGGGTTTCAAGCATTTCATTTACCTTGCTCCCATATAATCGCAGCATGTGCTAGTATACAGCAGAACCACAACATGCACATACCAGATGTTTTCATTGTTGTGAGTGTATTCAAAGTCTACAACAAAAGCTTCCTTAGACTTCCACACCATGAAGCTTCCTTAGACTTCCACACCACGAAAATTGGCCAATAGATGAAGGATCTACTCTTTGTCATGACGAGACAATGCAAATAAATAAGAAAGGGCGTCCAAATAGTACAAAAATTAGAACCGAAATGAACGATCTTGAGAAAGAAAAGAGAAGATGTAAGATTTGTCGAGAAATTGGCCATATGCGTAGAAAATGTTCGAATATAGCAAGCCCGTCAAATTGGCCCGCCCGTCTAGATTAAGTTGTTTGTTTTTTAAATTATTTTTTAAAACATTTATTAAATTATAATATCTATTATTTAAGTTTTAAATATTTTAAAATATCAAAATAGTTTTTAATCTTTAAAAAACAATTAAATATATTAAAATATAATAAAACTTATATATTTATATTTTAAAACAAAACAAAAAACAAAATAAAAAAAACTCCTTCAATGGTTAGTCGAGCCCCTTCATGCCCGGCTTCTGCATCATTAATTCGTCCTTTCATTAGACGCCTCTTAAATGAAGATATGACCTTTTGATACAATTTTTTTTTTCATGTTGTGGCAATTTGGTATATAATATTTCAAATTGTGGCATTTCGGTAAAAAAAATAGTCATTTTTAGCAAATTATTTGGAATCAGATAGTCTGAATTGACCCAGTATTCATTGTGACCAACAAGCAATACTCGCACAAAACAAATGAATAAAATTCCTCAATCGCCATTTTAACTTGTTACATCTAAGGTGCACGAAGCTAGAATCGGTAAACAGGTTGATGAGCTGAGTTTCTACAGAAAGAGTATGATTTTATTGAAACAAGTATCATGCAAAGAGAAAAAAAGTGTCAAACTAACCTTCACAACTTGTCTAGCAAAAATTAAAACTATCTTCACAATTTGTATACTCATTTTCTTTCACCACAGATTCTTTACAATCAAACAGAACATTTCTTTGTCTAGTATACAGCAAATTGTACATAAGATCTTCAAAACAAGGGAAAACGCGATGTGAAGAATCTGCCTGGACCTATTATTATACTGTAACACGAGAAAAGAAACCAATCAGGCAAATTGATCTGTGAGTACTAAGTACATTGATGTGTTCAATGCAGTAGGCACAACTTTGTTATCAAACTTTGCACTCAATTGTGAATTTTCATGAATTTCAAAGCTAAACAAAGTTGCGTAACCAAATGAAAATTATCAGAGAGATCATTCACCTTACATGTAATGGCACAGACAAATCTATTGCCTAACTTTAACCCATTTGCCACTGCATCCACAAACAGAATAGACAAATCACAACATTTGTGAGGTATAAATTTATTTGAAGAAAGAAAGCAAGTATATTACAGGGAAATTACATTTTTTAAATAAATAAATATATAAAAATGTGCTAGAAATGAGCAAGGAGGCCGGCTGCTATTCGAACAGCCATCGCGGTGCAGTTTTCCATTGCAGCTGCTCTTCGTCCATTTGCAGATCGGTGGAGAGGTCTCAGCTAGCCTCTTTCCAGTTCGAATTCTCCTTATTTCCTCAATGTCATCATTAACATTTTTCATTTGTTTGCACATGCATCTCTTGTATTCCTTTTTCAATTCTCTCCTTTTCATCCAAATTAGCCTACAATAGTGTTTAAACATTCGGCGGTGTTTTAAAGTAAGGAGCTACATCACCCTTTATTGACAATTGATGTTTTTATACTCTACTTATCCCTCTACTGATAGTGAGATTACAGAAATCAGATGTCACATTTTCTTATTATTTAGATCCTTCCAATGGTTAAATTGCCATCCTATGTCAATGTTACTTTAGGGCTTCAAACACAAATCGGGTTAAAACCCGCAACAGGCCGAGAAGCCGCTCCTCTCCTGCAGCCCGTGAATGGACAAAGAGTGGCCGCAATGACAAACGGTGCCACAATGGCGGTTCGAATAGCGGTCGGCCTCTCTCCCACTCCCACGATATCGCTGCTATCCACATAATGGATAACTCTACCCCGCTATCTCATTTTTGGGGTGTGCGGCAATGATATAGCTCTAAACCTATGTCTAGAAGATACAATATGACAAAGCAAATTTTCTCACAACATCAATTAAGAATTGCCACAACAAAAAAGTGGCATCTAGGATCTTCAAACCTTTAGAGTTGGTTCCCCGGTATTTGAGTTTGCAGCTTGCTTTGCCAGTCCCTTTTGATGTGCACGTGCAGCTCGTCCGGCCGCAGAATTATCAAATTGCTCTTGCCTACAATCAACACATACAAGTTAATCACTGTTAATGCAGTACCATAGTGGAATATGAACAAATTATTACATCATTCACCTCTTTATACTACAATTGATAATCAAAATTAAATTGAATTTTTATACGGTAGTTATCATTATCAAAATATTTTAGCAAAAAAAATCAAGGAATTACAATAGTTCATGCATAATGATAACAGATTCATCTACACCAGTGTGTGATCATAAAGCTTCTGAATAACCATTTGGTATTTTGTCTTTTTCACTTTTGCAGAAATTGAATGATAAAGTTAATAGAATATTCAAGAATAAGAATTAAGAAGAAAAGGGGGAATTTAGAGACGAACCTTTTCTGTGCGGCTTCAGCAGCTCTAGCACGCGCTTCTTCAGAGGCCAATCTTTCTTCTTCTTTGGCCATGCGCTTGTCACCGCCACCGAAGCAACCAAAGCAAACACCCATTTCCGATCTTTCTCTCTCTAAACTGTATCTCTATCTGTTTCTAACTGATCTGTTAGGTTTCTTTTTCTTCTGATCTGATTCTCAACTTATTTGTCTCTGTCAATTTTTATTTTGACAAATTATTTTTAATTATTATTCTTTTTTATTTTCGGTCAGACCTTTTTATTTAATTTTATTTTATATAAATTGAACCTTTTTATTTTGTATAATGTTAGATTTAATTGATACTCCATTAACAGCATACAAAGATTTTTTATATTAACAGCATTGGATAACCATTAAACTTTAGTCATGGTTGTTTATATGTCCTGGTAAACATTTAAGCCCAAATTTATTTTATATATATATATATATATATATATATATATATTGCCGTTAAAAAGTTAAAATAAAAAATTCCGCCCACCTCTCAATATGTTTGTTATCTTCTATGAAAACAGATTCTTTTAAAGTAGGGTTAGCAATAAATTGTTCAATCATGTGCAAATAGAGACGTCATCTTCAAGCTTTATATGGAAAAAGGCTTTCACAACATTAATAGGGAGTTTCCCATACAAAAATTTTGTTGGACTTTGGTTCTCTTTACATTGCCATCTAACTTATTATGAGAATTACCTTTTTCTATTTTAAGTGTTACACATAATTCATTACTAAGTGAATTATACTCTAATTTTGTTAAAAATTAATATTGCAATGTATTTTCGTATAACTTATGAAAATGAATTTTTAGACAGATAGTTAATCGAAAAAATCTGACACTCTTCTCCTTTTTTATTTTTATTAAATTCTCTCAATTCACTTTTAAATTTTTATTCTCAACATCTAATCAATGGAAATGCTCAATATCAAAAATCATATTTGGTAAGTTTTTTAATTTATATTTTTTACATTTGATTTTTCTATACATGTATTTATAGAAATTGAACATTAGGTTATGCAATATATATATATATATATATATATATATATATATATATATATATATATATATATATATATATATATATATATATATATATATATATATATATATATATATATATATATTATAATTGAATGTGTTTAATATGTGATCTAGATGAAAAATATGTTTTAAGTATATTTGGTTTCATGCATTTCTACCATTTTACATTTTTATGATATTTAAAATTTAATTTTTTTTATAAATATAGAAATACATTTCTGTATTCTTTGCATTGTTTGATTTGATTTTCAATATGTTTAATCTAGGTTTGATTTTCTCTAATTTGTCTACTTAATTGTTGGTAATTCAAAGTTACTGCTATCATATATGTTTGTCATGCATTATTTTGCAATAGTTATTGTATGACGTATTTATATTTGATACATGTGTTTTTTTTCTATTGTGTGTATGTGTATGATGGTAGTTGTGTTATATATTGTAGTTGATTATTTATATATCACACAATATAAATCATAATATGTAATATGTTTAGTATGACAATACATGATTAACACTCTAACATAGACAACAAGCAGCAGTATATGTCATTATATGATATTAAATTCATGGTTGAAAATGTTTGAATATGTTAGATTAATCTTATACATAATTCTTACAACAATTAATTGTTTTGTATGATAATAATATCACATAATATATTATTTTCTTCCGGCTATAATGATAATAATATGAGAAATTGTAGTAGAGAACTCTAGTAAGTTTGGTGAATGAATGTGAGTAAACTTAGACCAAGTAGTCACTTGAGATAAATAATTTTGTCTATGAGAGTGTCTAAATGGTGTGGATAGTGAACGATGGTCTAGATGCAATCTTAATTAACTTTGTATGGAAAGATATTATGATATTATTATTGATGAGTATAATCACATATTCGAGAATAACTCTTATTTGTGTTTGTCTCGAGTCCGAATCTTATGTAGAATAGTGAACAAGATAGAAAGATCATTAAGATGAATACTGTAGCACATGTCTTGACCAAGTAAGAGATGCTTATCGAGGAAAGTACTCTGACTTAGGCATCAAAGTATTTGCAAGTATCTCTCCCTTTTCTCTAACATAGGAAAACACTAAAAAAAGAGCTACCGAAGATCACCATTCTTTGAAGTTGAATTTATCAAGATATTTTAGGTCCATATAAAATAACTAAACAATATTGACTAATACTTTTAACTGACAATTAAATAATTGCATGAATTTTCATCTGAATCATTGCCATATATCTCACTAGTTGTTTAACTTGGTATTCACTGTAAAATTCATCTCCTTATACAAGTAATTTAATGAGGCGTCCTTGGACAAACATACATAGAAGACATGATATGTCATCAAGTGTCACATTCACCCATATATATAGAAGGCAGAAGATAATCGTCTCCTCGTGCCACCTTTTGTAAAGGTTGTCAGCATGCCATGATCAACTATATATGTTGAAACCTATGGTTAAGAGGCTGGATACTCCATTATCTCGAATGACATTAGTGAACCATTCCCCATATCGAATATACCAAATGATGATTTTATTATTGTTATTTATACATTTCAACAACCCATCATGATATCGAACGAATTTAATGTGGTACTTTGGATCAAATTCTAGTGTCGACAAAGGTAGTTTCATGGTTCGACAGGAGTTATGCATGCTGGAGTCGAAGTCTGTTCAAGCATGCTGTCAAAATATGTTAGCTTTGTGTTTAAGTTAGCATGTAGAGTTAGGCCTTGATTGTAAGCCCAATTGTTAAGTTAGCTTAGTAGTATATAAATAAACTAGTTCTCCCGGGTTCTTGTGAGAGGTTAATTATTGGTATTCACTTGTAATCTTTGAACTCTTATTGAGAAAATGAATAGTTAAACAATTTTAATCAATTCTTATTCTTCTTCTCCCTTCTTCTCTGTCTTTTGTGAAACCTAATAGGGTTTCTTGTGTTTGATCAAGAAACTCAATCTTTTTATCATATTTTGGTTTGTTCTTGAAGACATCAATTCACAACAAACTGGTACGGTGAACGTGGAGGAGAAGATGTCATCAACAAAGTATGAGATTGAGAAATTCACGAGTGTGAATGATTTCGGTTTGTGGCGCTTGAAGATGCAAGCTCTTCTTGTTCAACAGAGTTTGTTAGAAGCATTGAAAGGATCAGAGAAGATGAACGTTGTCATATCGGAGAAGGAGAAGATACCGATGGTCGAAAAAACCCACAGTGCCATTGTATTGAGCCTTGGTGATAAGGTTCTCCGACAGGTTTCAAAGGAGAAAACTACAGTGGATGTATGGACGAAACTTGAAGGTTTGTACATGACGAAATCGCTCGTTAATCGTCTCTACCTGAAGCAAGTTTTGTATTCATTCAACATGAATGAAGACAAAGCCCATGTTGAGCAGCTGGACATGTTCAACAAGTTGATTCTTGATCTGGAAAATATCGAGGTAAAGATTCATGATGAAAATTAAACGTTGTTGTTGTGCTCTTTACCTAATTCTCATGCTCACTTCAAAGAAACTCTCTTGTACATAAGATAGTTATTGATCTTTGAAGATGTTCAATCTGCCTTGTGCTCTAAGGATTTGAACAAACGAAAGGAGCATAAATCATCTTCTGTTGATGAAGTTTTTTTCGTTAAGGGGAAATTTTTGAAGAAAGATGGTAGGTTTGAGAAGAAGAAGGGTAAAGTTATATAGAATTTTTATGGTGGTAATGCTTCTACTATTAAGTGTTATCATTATAAGAATAAGGGTCATACAAGGAAAGTATGCCTTGATCGTCTGAACAATCATGGTGGAAAGAATAATGGTAATGTAGCCATTGTGCAAGATGGTTATGAATCATCTGATGTCCCAATGGTTTCAAGCAGCGACTCTAGCAAGGAATGGATTGTGGATTTAGGGTGTACTTGACACATGACTCAAAATAAAGACGTGTTTGAGGAATTGCATGATCAAGGTGTTGGGTAGGTGGTGCTAGGAAATAACAAAGCTTGCAAAATTGCAAGTATCAAATATGTGAGATTCAAGCTCCATGAAAAGTCAATAAGGCTATTAACTGATGTTAGGTATGTACGGGATCTTAATAGGAATTTGATTTCTCTGGGTGAATTCGACAAGAAAATATATGTTTTCAAAGGAGATCAAAACATCCTAAGCGTAATGAATGGGTCGGAGGAAGTCTTGAGAGGCGTGAAGAAACAAGGCTTGTATACCCTTGAGGCTGAGGTTGTCAGTGGTTCAACAGATGTGGCATCCATGAAACCTGTGTTGAAGACTGAGCTCTGGCACAAGAGACTTGGCTATGTCAGTGAAAGAGGTTTGGTCGAATTGTCGAAACAAAATCTGCTTGGTGGTGATAAGGTCAAAAAACTGGAGTTTTGTGAACCTTGTGTATTTGGTAAATCCTGTAGAATGAAGTTTAACAAAGGTAAACAAAAAATACATGGATCTCTTGATTATATTCATGCTGATCTTTGGGGACCTGCAAGAAATCTTTCACACTCAGGTGCAAAGTATTTTCTATCAATAGTTTATGATTACTCCATAAAGTTATGGGCATTCATCCATAAGACTAAGGATGGAACTTTTGAAAAATTCAAAAGTTGGAAGACTCTGGTCGAAAACCCAACTGACATGAAGGTCAAGAGGTTGAGGACCGAAAATTGTCTTAAATTTTGCAACGAGGCTTTCGACATCTATTGTGTTGTGTATGGTATTACAAGACCAAAACTACTGCAGAGACTCCCTAACAAAAGGGTTTGGATGAAAGGTTTAACTGAACCATTCTAAAAAGGATGCGGTGTATGTTGGTAAGTGTGAGATTTAAGAAGGTGTTCTAGGTAGTAGCATTTGTGATTGCAGCATACTTGATAAATATGTGTCTTTCGACAACCTTGGGAATAAAGACACCTGAAGAAGTTTGATCTGAACACCCACATAATCTCGACAGACTTATAGTATTTGGTTGTTTGGCCTATGCTCATATTAGCCGATACAAGGTCAATCCTAGAGCTCTGAGATGTTCGTTCCTTGGATATCCAGAAGGAGACAAAAGAGGTGTATCACAAGTAGAAATGTAGTTTTCAATGAAGTTGAGATGACTTTCAAGAAAACTGATGACATTGGTCGAAGTTCGAAGATCTCTGAAGAAAAGCTGGAACAAGAAGAGATTCATGTTGAGGTGGAGCATAGTGATGCTGAATTACATAACCCAGATGAAGCCAAAGAAGAATCTCAAGTTGCTGATGAAAATGAAGAGACTGATAATGACTACCTACTGGCAAGAGACAGATCGAAAAGAGTCATCAAGCCACCTCAGAGACTTGGTTATGCAGATCTTATAACTTATGCCTTAATCTCTACAAGTGAGGTTTTGGACGAAGAACCTATAGACTATAAGGAAGTTATGAGAAGTTGAGACAAGACATTGTCGAGTAGTAAGTTTTTCCAATGTATGCAGTTGATAAAATAGCATGATGAAAACTAGTTTGTCCCCTTGTTAGTGTAGAGTTTGTTTCAAGGTGGAGATTTGTGGTATTTTGGATCGAACTCTACTGTCAACAAGGGTACTTTCATGGTTCAAAAAAGTTGTGCATGCTGGAATCGAAGTCTGTTCAAGCATAATGTCGAAATATGTTAGCTTTGTGTTTAAGTTAGCATGTCGAATCATACCTTACTTGTAAGCCTAATTGTTAAGTTAACTTGTAGTCTAAGTTAGCTTAGTAGTCTATAAATATACTAGTTCTCTCAGGTTGTTGAGAGAAGTTAATTGTTTGTACTCACTTGTAATTTTTGAACCCTTATTGAGAAAGTGAGTAGTAAAATAATTTTAACCAATTCTTATTCTTCTTTTTCCTCCTTCTATGAGAAACCTAACAGGATTTCTTGTGTTTGTTCAAAAAACTCAATCTTTTTCTCATATTTTGATTTGTTCTTGACGATATTAATTTACAACAATTTAAAAATTAAAATTATGTAATTTGTAGGGATGGCAAAAAAATCTGTACCCGCGAATATCTGCGGATAAAATTCGTCACATATGTGAGACAGATAGTTTAATAGATATCCACGGATAAAGTAAATGGATATTTACATACCCATTTGTTAATGAATATGGATACGGGTTTAATGATATCTGTACCCGTGGATATCCATATTCATTAATAAATTATAAAAATCATTTAAATGTTATTATTTATTATACCTGATCTTTTCATCTTCTAAAAAAATTAGTCTTCTTATATTTCTTTCTTTTTTTTTTTTTGAAATTTTATTTGAAGAAAACCATTCACATTTCATTCAAATTCGATTAGCCATTTCATCTTTAAATTTTTCATTACTTCATATCTCACTTCAACAATTTTATAGTCCAACCAACTAGTGTCGTAGTTCCTCTATCAAACCAGTGTCTCCCTTCCTACTCCTCTATCGTTCTCTCTTCCATCATAACTCACAATCACAACATCTTTTATTTGTTTGGTTAAAAATGAAATATATGTATATTATGTTTGGATCTAATTGTGTTTTGGTGAATAAGAAGAAAATTAATGCAAAGAAATTTTATTGTTAAATTAAGAGCGAATTCTATCGATGTTATGTGATATAACTTTTTGTGTCTTTAAAAGAAGTAAAAAATATTTTTTTCAAAAAATAATTTTCATAAAAAGAATATTATCCATGAATATCTGTAAATATGCGCGAATATCGTAAAATCCACGGATTACCCGTTTAACGGATATTCACATATATATGGGACAAATATGGATATCTTATTTATCCAACGAAACAGATACGAATATCATAGTATCCAAATATTAAAGTGAGGGAAAAAAATAAAAATAAAAATTTATGCCTTAAACGAGGTTTTAACTTTTAAGATTGTAAAATCTGAAAGTTTTAAAAACACGTTAGAAATTCTAAAATCTAAGAGACATTTTTGTCATAAACAAAGGGTTTATGAGATATTTTTAATGTGAAAATTTTCACCTACATGTTGGGCTAATGTACCAACCACTTTTTTTTTACTTGAAAATAAATTCATTATTGAGAAAACAAAAGGGTGCTAGAAGCCTCTGTAGTTACAATTGGGTAACCCCCAATCCAAGTATGTGAACCAAAAGTTTCCCCAGCCCCGCAAGGTTATTAACATCTACATTAAAGTATCTGTTAATAAACATTAAAGAACTAAAAGTAAAACTGCTAATCAGCTTCCTACAATCCGCTGCAATAAGTTTGATGTCGGCGTTGACATTACTATTGTTGATACATTCCACTGCAACAAGGGAGTCAGACTCGATTATCAGCTTCTCCACCTTAAGATTTGGAACTAAACCTAAAGCCCAACGAATGGCAAATACCTCCGCCACCACCAGACGCACATTTCTGACCTCTTTCTTGCTAGTGCTAGAAAGATATCCTCATCAGGATTCCTAATGATGTAGCCGGAAAAAAACCTCCTTTCCGTCCATCATACATGCATCCACCTGCAGCATAAAACACTTCCCCACAGATTGATTTAAACTAGAACCGACCTTTGAGCCTTTCTCTTCCCCAACCCTATATTAGATCTGTTGAAATCTTCCATAGAGTTCAGAGCATCAAGGGCCACCATCTGAGGCAAAGACACTGTCTACTCGTACACCAACACGCAACGAGCCTTCCAAATCTTTTGGAGCATTGTACACACTAATTGTGTGCTCAGCAAGTCCCCACATTTAATGACATTAACGAGTCAATCTTAGATACTGATATCCTCTAGCGCCTTGTAATTCAAAACAGATGAAAATAGGACTTGTTTAGCAAAAAAACACTTAAGAAACAGATGATGACTAGATTCCACATCATTATTGCAGAAGGGACAAAGTTGTCCCAGATGTATGCCCTCCTTCCCCATATTTTCCTTGGTTAGAAGAACATCTTTTGCCAATCTCCAAAGAAAGTTGTGAGTCCTAATGTGAATATTAGCTTTCCAAACTTCCTTCAATAGGGACTGAAATGAGGCACCAGAAGGACCAAAAACTCTAGCAGCCTTAAGGTTCAGACAAAGATGATAACGAGTTTTCACAGAATACTCCCCATTCCTTTCATAGTGCCAAAGCAACTTGTCATCATGATCACTTCAAGAAAGAGGGATGCTGGTAATTTGTTTGTCATCCTTAGGGTCGAGTCTGTCCTCAATAATCTCCTTCTTCCATATTTTTAGTCTAAATCAATAAACTCGCCCACTCTTGTATTCTCATTTACCTTGTGAGTTGGCCTTAGAAAAAGGTTCAATTTTTCTTCAATTTTTTAGAAGTCGGTTTTGAATTGAATCTAATGTTTCTCCTTCCGTGAATTGCTTCCACCACAAGCTTGCAATCACATCCGAAGATAATACGAGTGAAACAACAATCTTCAACAAAATTCATTAAAATGGAAATGATTGTAAGCCTCTTAAAAAATGAGATCATTCGACCTTGATTACCATCATCACCATAATTTTTTCGTATTATTTAAATTAAAATGAATTTTTATTTTGATTATCATCTATAATATTTTGTCTTGTATATTTTTAGAGAATTTTATTTTTAAAAGAGAAGATCAAATTTGTTGACAAAATAATATTAAAAAAACAATTGTTTGAAAAAACTAAAATATAAAATAAAATAAAATATATTCATAAAATTAAAAACTTATTTAACACAAATTTCTAAATTATTACTCTATCGGAGAAAATAAATTATTTCAAAATAACTTTTGTTCTCAATTTTCAATATAACAATAATTATTATTTTTTCAATTATGTCATACATCTATTATTCTATACATTATTTTAAATATATTAATAAAATTAATTTAATAAAAATGCAATATCTAATAACAATATTATTATATTTTTTAATCTGAAAAACTTAAAAAAGGAGGGAGTAATGTAAAAAACAATGATTTCGAGGAAGTAAGAGAAAAGTAGCTGACTGAGTGTGAGTGTGTAACCAGCACAGCATGAAGATGAAATTGGAGGAGCAAGAAAATCTAAACCTAATTCACCCAACAGCAACTCTAGAAATAGACAAAGATCTCACTCTCCTACCACGCATCAAACTCAACCTCACCGTACACCCTTCCTCACCTTCATCCTCCATAACAAACCAAATCGACGAATGGAAAACGAAACGAGCCTTACTCGATTTTCTCCAAACCTCGCATTCTCTTCCCTTTCCTCTCCCCGAAGAAGACCTTCAATTCAAACGCTTCAACAAAGACCTCAAAAAGCGTAAACGCGAAGATCCCGTCGTTTACGGTACACTTCACATCTGGGACCTGTCGTTTTTGAGTGAGAAGAATGAAAACGACGTTGTGAAATGGAGGAATGGTTTTGTTGAGAAATTGAACGGTGTTGAGTTGAATCTTCAAGGGGTTAGGTTTAGGCTTGATGTTGATGTTCCTGAGTGTGATGATTTTGATGGGATGAAGAAGAATTGGGAAGAGTTTTATAGTTTTCGGAATGTGAATCGGAGTTCGAGACGTGAACCGGATACGATTGTTGTTAGTGGTGTTCCATCGCGGTGGTTTGCGGAGACTAGGGTTTCTTCTAAACCTTCTATGCTTGTCACTCATACCATTTTTTCGAAGTTTGGGAAGATAAGGTTTGTTTTGAATATAATTTATAGTTTTTATGTGGAAAGTGTTTGATTTGTATTATCATTTCTTATAAAAATAGCTAATACGTAAACAGCTTCTATGATATAAGCACTTAATTGACGTGTTTATCCAAATAGGCATTAATTTGCTTAGTTAGTGTGTTTGAACTTGTTAATAGCTGCTAGTTAGTTAATTCTTCAATAAGTTTTATATATCAATCATCAATGTTTTGAAATTGATTCAGACAATGAACGGGTGAGATCTTTGGGTCATGGTTTTCAATAGCTTGAGCTTAGGCGAAAGTGCAATTGATCCGGCGCAGTTTAGCTTTTGAAACATTGCTAGCATCTTTTCAATATGATTCCTGATGAGATTTCACTTGTAGTGTTTAAGCTTGCAAACTTACTTTTTTACTTCCTTTGATCTCCAACATGATAAGCATAGGTAGATAACTAAAGCATTAGGAGCATTTGCTTATGAGTTACAGCTTTTGTGAGCTTATAAATTTTAAATTCTTCACGTATGGAAGTGTTTTTAAAAGTGTTTATGGAGAAGTTGAGTGAGAGTGTTTTTGAAAAAGTTGAAATCGAGAACTTGATTTCTACTTATCTATGAAGTTATTATTACCTAAAAGAGTTGTACTATGAGATTCTTTTAGTGTTTCTTTTTCTATGTGAATGTTTACAGTGTTTATTCAAATTAGATTTAGACATAATGTGATTGACAGAAGTAGGAATCACTTTTATGTGTGTTTTTAGTGTAGATATTTATACGAAGGAATGTGTTTTGGATGAAGAAGGAATGTGTTTTGGATGAAGACCCGAATTTACTTTGTTTTCATTATCCTTGTTTTAAGAAGTGGAAAGAAATAAACTTGTTTGTGTTGACTATGTGAGAATTATTGTATTTGACTTGCTTAGCAAGCTCTCACGTAGCTGTCAATACTCCATAATGTGATTGTACCTAATTCGTTTGCTCCTTAACTTGTATTAAATAGGAATCTTAATGTTGCTGAGGATGATTCAGGTAAGGATGCAAATGAAGACAGTGGAGACCTAGTTTCGGGGCTTTACTGCAAGATCGTGGTTCAGTTTGAGAAATATAGAGACTTCCATGATGCATTGAGAGTTCTCAGTGGTCGCTCTTTGCAAAAGGTATTGATTTAGGTTCAATTTAGTTTTAGCTTATAGCTTCGTGACTATGCGTTTTTTCAACTGAGTAATTGGTTTCTACTTTTGGAAAGCCCTTATAGATCTACTTATGAGTAAATAAAAGTGTTACGAGCGGTTGCTGAAACATATAATACGCAAGCAGTTGCAGACTTGCATTACATTCATGATTCATGATTATTATAGGATAATATGTGATGAAAACTGGGCAGCAATTAGCATGAGGTATCATTTGCAAAATTGAAATCTTGGATATGTTTTTGATTTCCTTGTGATAATTTATGAATCATCTTTGAACAGCAAGGATCAAGATTAAAGGCTGATTATGTGGTTACTTGGGACAAAGATGAATTTTTTCGTAATTCAAGGAATCAAACTCAAGAGAAAAACAACGCAATATCCACAACTGCATCTGATCATTATAAAAGTGAAGCTCCCCGGCGCCAGGTCTACAACTCTCGCCACAGTCCAGATAAAGTGCGCTCGAGGAGATTCAGGGTAAGATTTTGATATGTTAAGGAGTATATTTTTTGTTGTGTCCTTTGGTTTCCTAGTTGGACCATCTCTTATTGATGACAGGGTCTATTAATGTTGACAAGGAACACCTTTATTTGATGCAGGAATAAGGATTCAATTTTTTGTTTTATTTTGGATACAAACTCAATATTGCTGTTATGGACTGAACTCAAATTTAGACCCGTAAAATGTTTGCTGACTCGGCCCTTCGGGTGTCTACTCAAGCTCATGAGGTTGGATAGTAGGGTTATTTTCAGAGATCACCTGTAATAACATTTGCAATCTCATTTTTTCCAATTTAAGAAGCGAATTAGCCCTTGTTCGGGTTATCTGTTCCAAAAAGAAAATCGGTTTCCCACATTATTTGGCTAAATTGATTTATTACCATTGGGCTGTGCTGTAAAATGACAGGGTGAGAACTGTGGAGTATATCCATGTATTATTACATCTCAATGATAAGGTTGAATCTAAGAAATTAATGAGTTTCAGTTAAAGTTGAATCAATTGAGAATATCTGAGTTCTAACATTGGTTGGAACATTCTTTGCTTATGATTTACTTATTTTTCAACCAAGTTTCAAACTATCAATGTCCATTTTTCTATAATCATAGTGTAATACAAAGAAAATAGAGCTCTCCAACTGTGAAACTATTGCTGAAACATTGAGCGTAATTTTTTGGAGTTTAGATACTCAACTTGATCTAATTCTAGCAGAATAGATTCATAATAGGAGATATTTCTTTCAAAATGAAATATAAGTGAAAAATTGTCTAAAGTTAAATATATTTAGTTTAAATTTTGGATTAAATACATTTAATTTTAGAAAAAATTCTTTCAGCGCATGCTTTTAATTTTTCATCCACAGTTTTGAAATCAAATTATTGCTTAAGAGAAATTAAACACCTCACAACTTGACCAATGTATTGGTCCAATTGAGTGGAGAAACTAATGAAATTTTGAGACAATATTAATTAATAACTAATCATCACAATTAAAAATGTATTTGTATAACCTCAATGTATCTTAATTGAATGTGGTAGGTTTTGTCCAATAATTTCTTCTGAACCAATAGAGTAGATAATTTTTTTAATAAAAAGAATACATCAACAATGACCATGTCAACGAGTATTAATTTATAATCTAATACAAACTATTCAAACTTCTAACCTCTAATTAAATTCAGGTATCTTGAAAGAATCAACATGCTTAATAAAAAGAGAAATAATTAGATTGCTTAAAACAATGAAATTTGCTTGAATTAATAAACTAATCACTAACATGGATTGCATTAATTAAGACTAATCCATCAAAATCTACACTAAACTTTTAAATTGAAATTCCACTATCATGATCCAACAATGAACATTTAACAAGAAAGGTTGAAAAGTCAACTCATTTCAAGAAGTTTTCGAAAGAAAAAATGTACACATATTCACATTACAAAAAACTAAAACTCTAATCCTAATTAAGAAAATCGAAACATGAAAAAGAAGAAAGAACAATTCAAAGGGAGTGAACAAAAAAATACACAATGATCACTACCTTTTCTTGTGTGAATGTTTTCCATGAATCTTGTTCTTGGAATTACCTTCATCAGAATCACCACCACCACTTCTTGGAGAAACTAATCCATCATTAGTACCACTAACCATTTTCTTCTCACTCCATCTTCTAACATAATCTTTCTTCTTCTCATTAACCCCTTCACTAATCGCCATCTTCCTTTCACTAAACCATCTATCATAATCTTTTCTCTTCATCCCTTCATTACTCAAGCCTCTACCAAAATCTTTCTTCATAGAACTTCTTGAACTCAAAGAACCATCTTTCATAGTTGGATTAGCATACCACAAAACACAACTGAAAATTGTTGAAACCGTTCTTCCAAAAACAGTCAACATAAGCAAAATCATAATCACAACAAATGCCAAGTAGAGCATAGCTTCATCCATTTCAATTTTCTTCACATTCATAGAGATTCTCTTCTTGGGTTGGTTTCTTTTTTCCATACTAACAACACTTGATGGTTGATCAGTTGAAGAATTCTTCAAGTTTCTTGCTTTCAATACTTTTATCTCTTGGCTCTTGTTTTTCACCTTAACTATAATAGGGACAAAATCGTCTTTATTTGAGTGAACAAAACGAATGTAAGAAATATCATGAGGGTTCATTTGTGAATAAATTTTCTGCCTTTTATCGTTTAAATCAGATAAAAGTGCTGAAAATTTATCTAAGCCACGTGTAGAATAAGGGTTGTTTTTGCTATTTTTTCTTTTGTATCTTCTTGGGCTTGAATCTGGATTTGCACATAGTTCATCATCATCTATTGGATTGAATGTTCCACAAACAAAAGGGTTCAACATTTTAATGAAAATTTTGCTTTTTAAGGTACTAGGCTTTTGTTTGGTTTGAGAAATCATGAGAATTGGAAGTTATATGGTAGCTATAGATGTGGGTTTAAACTAGAGACTAGACCAATATGGGCCTACTTAAAAGTCAAATCAAATAAAACAAGGACTTAAATTTAAGTGTTGATCCTATAGAAGTTTCCTAAGGGCATTATTGACATTTAACTAGTAGGAGATGCGAGAAATTTTGTGTTTTTATGATATTTTATAGTCTTCTTTTGACCATTATACTACTCTAATATGAATGAATTCTTTGTGATTAATAGTAGACTATAGTGCCGTGAGAATTGAGTTATGGGATGATAGAAAAGAGTACATAGAACATGTTACTTGTGGAGAAGGGTGTAGATCTAGTCTTTGAGTTATAAATGTAAAAAGGTTTTAAGGTGGTACAAATGTTCTATATATCAATCTCTAATGTTTTCTAGAAGGTAGCATATGATTTGAATATGAAATGAATTATTAAGAAGTTAATGATATGGGGTGTAGTTGTCAATGGATAAAATAATGGGATTATATTAACAAATTAATAAGTATGCCTAGGGTATGTTTTATTTGGTCAAGATGCATAGATGGTACATAGTAGTAGTATAGTACAATAAATGATGGATAGACTAAGCATGGAAAATTATTTTAGGGGAATTACACCCTAAGTATTGCTTTTATATTTTAAGGAAAAATTAAAACCGTTCATAGATTTTAAAAATGCATTTTCAGACGTATTTCATTTATATTTATTTTTTAGTTTAAAAAAATTATGAAAATATATCTTTGGGTAATTTACAAAGATGTATTTTCAGAAGCTATTTTAATTAATTATGCGTCATAATCTCTTTTCATTTCTTATTTTTTAAAATACTCTCAAAATTCACAAACTCTCCAAACTTTTCAACTCTCAAACTCTCTCAACCCACAAACTCTCAAACACATTCAACACACTTTCAAGTTTCTACCATGAACAACCAATCAATCAAAGAGCTCAACATCAAACTCACATTAAGTAAATTTTTTATTTCTCTATTTTTTAATTTCAATATACATTTATAGAAATTGAGCATTAGATTATGTTATAAGTAGTATGAATATTCTATTTAAATGAGCAATGTATTTAACAGGTAGTTTAAATGGTCAATGATTTTTTTTTTAATGTTGGATTGGACTTCATTTTGCCAATTTTTTCGTCCTTTTTGAGTTGTAGAACATTTCGGAGATACATCTTCGAATTCTTCAACATTTTTTCAAAAATTAGAGATGCATTTCAAAATTTTTTCTACCAGAATTGTTTGACTTCATTTCATTACGCTTTATCTGTATAATGCTTCCACGACTTAATCATAGACATTATTGATGATAACCAAGATAGATTAAGGCATGACAGAGATACGCAACATGCATTGGTACATAGGAAAAAAACTCGATAATCGCAGACACTGATCGATTCTAGTTCGGTTGATGCGAATACGTCAACTTCTGGGGGACATGCATCTCCTCTTTCGTCTTTACATAGGAGGCGTTAGTTACCTCTTGATGCCCCATATGCCCCACTGATAGAAGCACCCGAGGCACCTCTGTGATTTGGAGGAGGTTCGTCTGACTTATCTTTGTTGCCTCTATTTTCGGGCCATGCTGCTAGACATGTGTGAGATAGAGAGGTAAAATTCAAATTTATTCATTCTTTAAAACACATTTTTTATAACATTCGAAGTTTCTGACAATGATTTATTTTTTGTAGGACCTTGATGCTTTAAAATGCATCAACCATGGCCGAATGGTTACGGGTCTGTCGCAATCTGCTGAGCAGTGGTTTCAGGATGTGATACAACTATCTGGACTGCGAGACTTGTGCATGATCGGTGATGTTACAATTAACTATGGTATGTTATTCATATTTGTAGAGATATGACACTCAAGGACGCCATATTTTCATCTTCTACATGGTGAGATGTCCATCACACTGGACAACACCTCATGCTTAATAAGGGGAAGACAATTAAACCACGCAAGGAGTTAGAAGCCACCTGAAGATGTCATGTTATGTTTCCATTCCTGGAGAGGCTGTACACACAATAACTGCATGCGATAGAGCAGGCCGCTGGTGACGATGAGCAAGTTATGCAACATAAAGCATGCGCTTTAAGAGCATACATGTTGTATTTCGATGACACATCCATTTTTATGGACAAGAGTGCAACTTAGGTGGATATGGTTTACTTGAGATGCTTCGCTGACTTGGATTGAATCCATGAGTACAACCGAAGGGCATCTTGTTTGGTATACATTCACCCTAAGTTAGTTGAATGATGTATGTGGAAGGCCAAATAGATGACAAATAGGTGGATACTATTCACGATAATATATTTTCATCTTTATGTTTGTGTATCATTTCATAAAACTTGTGTTGCACAATTACTAATAATTCATATGTACCATTTTCCCACTTGGATCCTCCAACACTTTCCATGCATATTCAACTGGTTATATGTTTCGACCTACACTGAGGATATGCCACATGCTTCTGCATTCACCATACTAAGAGGTAATCAGGTGATAGAGCCCTTCAGAGTGTATCTTAACCACTTGGTAGTAGAAGATATACACTTCCATGCATGCACAAATCATCGTCTGATGTTTCCGCACCTGCTTGGATGCGTCACGTGGCAGTTTGGCCCCATGTAGTTTGTTTCTAGAGACCCTTTTGAGTGTGCTCCTCCAACTATAACACACAAAGATATAGGTACCATGTATGATGATTACCTTATTCATGTGGTATCGGATGAGGCACGTGGTACCCTAGCTCCTAATGAATAGAGTGATGTATACGACTAAATCTAGTGATATCTTAGGATGTCACATCCTTATATGACACAAGATGCTCAAAGTGATCCACCTAGGTCAATTCATTAAAAGATATTAGAGGAGGAACAAACTATGGGCTATTGTTTTAACCAATGGTCAATCTAGCATCACATGACACCTAGAAGACATCCATCTATTTAGACTGTCAAATATATCCAATGGTCGTATGAGATAGATGATGCATCCATATCTAAAAAACGAATCAAGGCCAACAAAATACCCATGAAGCATTGGATCAAATAGATCGATAAAACCACTAATCTCGCCCCCTCGGGTAGTTGTCTTTAAAAAGAATCTAAGACTTCCAGCATAGGATGAACCTACCTTGGAAGTACATCTAATCAGAGTTGACAAGACCCTATATATCGTCATATTGTACTCCAACGGATCTTCTAACATATTTTATGGGAGGATTATGATCAATACAAGGTTATAAGGCCTCAAAACCCTAGAAGCTCACTATTAAAGACGATATGCAAATCAGTATCAAATACACATTATCTTGAGAGTTAGAGTGTTTGCAAGTACATCCCCCAACGATGGATGAAGTTAAAAGATAGTTACAAAGTTCAACATCAGATCCACTGTTACCAACAACATTTGAAGAAAAAAGTTCACCCCATATCACTTATCTTGGTAGTTTTTAATGGAATTACATTTGTTATTTTTTTCTATAAAAAAAAGTTTAATATTTTTTATTTATGATAAAATATTAGATACACGTTGGAATATCAATGTGTGAAAAAGAGCTAAGAAGGTAGTTTAACTGAGTTGAAACAAGTGAGCTAAGGGTTTAAAAAGTTGGAGATTCAGTGTTTAAGTTTTGACAAAGGTGTAAATATATATTAATAAGGCAAAATTACTGTCTTGATCCTTTAAGTTATTTTAAAATATCAAGTTAGTCTTTTAAGTTTTTTTGTAACGCTTTGGTCCTTTTTTAAAAATCTCCGTTATAATAAATTATAAACTCATATACCACTTGAATTGTTTTTTCGCGCTGCTCACGAATATGTAATTAGTTTTGCGTTTGATTGCGTATTTTGGTCGGATCAATGCTTTTTCATTATGTATTTCGTCTATTTTTACTTGATTCTCATGAACCGTAACTTGTTTGAAAAATTTGATTACATATTTGTGATCAACACGAAAAACTAATTCAAATGATATATGAGTTTGCAATTTATTATAACGAAAATTAAAAAAAATAAATTAAAACATTAAAAAAAACTTAAAAAATTAATTTAATATTTTAAAATAATTTAAAGGACTAAAATAATATTTTTACCTATTAATAATTAATCACTAACAATTTATTTTGATATAATGACTTTGAAATTTCAAAACATTTAAATAACGATGGTTCAAAATCCCCCTAAACAAATGTTACATAAGCAATTGATTGTTGATTTTTTTTCTTCATAATAACGTTTATTTCAACTAAAAATAGGCTCAAATGAATTTTAATTGTCTACAGACACTTATCTTAATCTCTTTACTCTAAATATTTTTTTATTTATTTTAAAAACAAAATAAATTAAAGGTCTTTGAGAGACTTGAGTAAAAAGATACTGTCGATAAATTTGTTTAAGAGACCCTTTTAATTATAAATTAAATATAAAACATTGTACGATAACTCTTTTTATTATAACTTAATCATAAATTAAAAAAATGTGAAATTATATAATATAAACCACCTTATATGTCTTCAAAAACGAAACTGCATTGAATATTGGTCTACTCAAATATGAACATTGTCAAATCTACGATTTACAATTATTTAAAGATTTTTTTTGGCTGTGACAATTTTTTAAAGTTAATGTTAAAGATCAAATTGTTATTTTAAAATCAAACGCCATGTATCCAACACGGCTTCACATGTATTCAATTAAGCCTATATTTTTACTTTCATATGAAAAATGGAGAGAGAAATTAATATTAAAAATTTGAAAACCGAATGTAAGTGTTTCTTGCATATTTAAATAAATTTTTATTTTGAATATATTTATTTATGGGTATATTTAATTTAACCCATAATAATTTGTATAACTTTAGTTATGATATCGATTTTGAGTTTCTGCAAATCCATATCCAATCATTAA